CTGGATGATGGCCCATGAGGTCTCTTCCAACTCTTGGATTCTTTGATCCTATGATTCTATGACTTAATGTCAGGGGGAAACCTTTACCTATCTATCTATCTATCTATCTATCTATCTATCTATCTATCTATTACAATGTAATATAATAATATAATAATAATAATACATATATTACATATATAATAATAATGTGATGTAATGTAATACAATCTAGCAGTAACATAATAATCTAATATATAAAAATAATATTGTAAAAAAATCTAATGATCTATATAAAACATATATAATATTATAATAATATAATTAAATATATCCTAATAATATTATAATAATATGTTATATATCATATCATCTATGTGACTGGAAGTGACTGGACTGACCTTGAAGGAGCTGGGGGTGGTGACGGCTGACAGGAAGTTCTGGCGTGGGCTGATCCATGAGGTCACGAAGAGTCGGAGATGACTGAACGAATGAACAACAACAACTATGATAATATGATCTATCTATCTATCTATCTATCTATCTATCTATCTATCTATCTATCTATCTATCTATCTGTATCTTAATTGGCTCCAGGCGCTGGTGATGGTGGTGTTCCTGGGCTGGCTCTTTGTCCCCATTTACATCAAGGCTGGGGTGAGTATCAACTTAATGGTGACCCTAAGACTAAATAGGACTCTAATTTGAACCGTGATCCTTATTCTGACTCTAAATCTAATTCCAGATCTCTAACCCTAATGACGTCCCTAATTCAAGCCCAACCTTGACCAAACTCTATATCTGACCCATAACAAACCCTCACTAACCCTAATCCTTATCCTAACTCATCCCTTAGCTCAGGTCTACCAACTCCTGACCCTAACTCCCACCTTGACCCTGACCCCAGTTCTACCCCTAAATCTTACTCCAAGCCAAACGTAAAACTAACCTTTATTCTAACCGATTCCTGACTTCTATCCTAATTAAACCCTGATCCTAACTCCACCCCTAAGCCATCTTTTATCCTGAACCCTAACCCTATTCAATCCATCCCTTACTCCAACCCTACTCCTAACTCTTATGCTAACCTCTATCTTCCTCCAGCCTTTAATCTAACTCATCACTTCACCCGAACAGAACCCTTACCCTGATTCTAACCCATCTCTGACTCTAACCCTGACCTTTGTTCAAATCCATTCCTAACAACCCTAACTCTCATGTGACGGCGCAAGTGGCGCCACCTATGTATAGAACTGTTAGTTGCAAGGTTTAAACTGTTGTATCATGCTTAATCCTGCCCCTTTTACCCTGCTTATGTATAGTTGTATGGATTAGTTACTTATAGCTGTCAGTCAGTACTGTTTGGCTCCACCTCTTCCTGCAGGAGGGGAGTGCTTCCTTTCTTTTCATTCTGCCATCAGAGTTCCTACCATATGGACGTGAGTAAGAGACTTGACTCTAAAAGACCCTGATTTAAGTTACCTCTTAGCACCAGTTCTGAGGTTTTTTATCCTTGAGACTTGTGTTTCATGTTCAGACCAACCTGAACATTGGAAGTCTCAAGCGCCTTCAAACCGGTTCTTTTGGCACCAGAGGAAGATCCCGAGTCTTCAAGCATAGGCCATCTGAACTGGGGTTGTGGTTTGCTCCGGCATTCACAGCCATTGAGGAGAGAGGAAACTTGGTGAGGCTTCTCAGCTTCAAACCCCTTGGACCCAGGACTAATTGAGACTGTAACGTATGTTTTCCTTCACCCCTCTGAAGTTTCCAGCTCATTGCTTTAAGAAATAACTCTTTGTGATCAATAAAACTTATTTTGAGTTATTTACAGCGTTTTGGGTTTTTGGGAGTTCCAGTTTCCTATAGGAGGGCAAGAAGCAATCCCTTGGGGAAAAGATGCCACATCCATCCCTCCTTCATTAAGACTAATAGCCCCCAAGCTCGACGGCACATTCATCTGAACTCTAAACTTATTCTAAACCCACCCTTCAGGCTTTTACATTCACCCTTTATGGATGTTGTTTTAATGTGTTATTATTGCTTTTATAACTATTTGTTTTATACTATTTAAATTGTATTTTATTTAAATTGTACTACGTATTTATTACAGTACAAGGCATTGAATATTTGCCTTCTAACCCACCCTTGACCCTAAAACATAACCATATCCAATCTTACTGCAACCTTARCCCTTATTCAAACCCAATCGTAACCCTAACTGACCCCTAACCCTTGTTCGAACCCAACCYGCCTCCCTGTCCTAACTCTACCCATCCCTTACTCCCACCCTATTCATAGCTTTAATTGTTCTGTCRTGTGCTGGRCCTGTAACAGCTGTACTTTTCTATAGGAYGTATACTTTAAGCCCAGCGGGAAKCCAGGGCGCCTCAAAGAGAGGTTCTCAGGGATTTTTCTGAAGTGATGGTCTTTAGAGYCTTTAATGATGCAACAAAGTCTTTATTATGGAACAAACAACAMATMTTCAATGGTTCAAACAACACTTCAAGGCTTTCTTAGTCTAGTYCTCAATGGRCTGGYACCTGACTTTGAYTAACTGTACTTTCTCTGWAGAAGAAAAAACCCTTTTTAACCTCTCCCAGGCTGTTTACYATCTATGYYTCATYGGTGTGGGWSCTACTACYGATTCCAARTGCRTCTGGGTATCGAGTAGACCTACCAGCCGAGGCTTGAAKRTATTTCAGCTGGAGTTCWGTGGATCTGTAGTGCTGTCCTCCCTCAGAGAATTCTTTGAGAACTTCAGGGCTATTTTCCCTCTGTTTGCTGTGAGGCTGTGAGCTCTCAGCCAGAGCTTTTGAGACCTTTCTCCTGGAATTTCTGCTTCTGTATCCCCAGATGTTATGCTCCCCTGGATGCTCCTTTTTCCCTGGATGGTTATTGAGAAAGGAAGCTTTTCTACGGGACGAGCTGGTCTACGTCCTATAGTCTAGCTTCCTTGTGTGACACTGCCCAAAAAATGGCTCCTTTCCCTCCCAGAGCCCAGAACAAGGGGCAGAACCAAAGCTTAATTATGATGGACAGGAGGCCTGCCCTATGACTGCAAAACAGACAACAGAAAGAAAATAAAGTTGGAGCTCCTGGTACAGCTGTACCAGCACGCTAATGCTACCCAACTTCAACATCATATGGAAGTCTCATAATAACAATAGCCCTAACCCTTATTCTAATGAAGCCTTAGTCTAACCATAACCTCAACCATGACTCTAATTGTAATTAGAGTCATGGATGATCCTCAGCCTCACTGATCTTGGACCCCTGATCCTAACCTTTAAGGCACCAAACTAACTGACCCCAACCCCTGAATCTTCTGACCCTCATCAGGTAGTGACAATGCCGGAGTACCTCAAGAAGCGCTTCGGAGGGAAGCGGATCCAGATCTACCTCTCCGTCCTTTCACTCCTACTCTACATTTTGACCAAGATCTCGGTGAGTGGTGGCCACCTTGGAAGTTGGGGGCCCCTTTGAGGGAAGGGGTGGAGCCTCCAAAGGGCAGAGACTATCCAATATGGCCTGAAGCATCCTCCATCCATTGCTGCCATTGGCTTTTGCTTTAAAGGAGGGGGCAGAGCCTCAAGGGGAGGAAAGTCCCTCTCCTGTGTTCTTACCAGGTGTCCTTGAATGGGTGGTGGGACCAAGAGGAGGCCCTTCCTAGTTGTCAACCAGGTTCATAGAAATTGATACGGTCCTTCAGGTAACCTGGACCGGAGCCATAAAGGGTTTTATAGGTTATCACCAACCCTTTTAATTATGCCCAGAAACAGACAGGCAGCCAGTGGAGCTACTTCAACAGGGAGGTTGTCTTCCTCCTTAGCCAACCCCAGTGAGCAACCTGGCTGCAGCTCTTTGGACCAGTTGAAGCTTTTGAGCACTCTTCAAAGGTAGCCCCATGTAGAGTGCATTACAGTCATCCAGGCGGGACGTAACTCAGGACCATATCACAGTGGGATATAATGTTTATATCAGTATGTATCTGATATTCTTTAAAGACTGGATTGAGGCAGGATGCATCCTCTCTCCTCATCACACCTGGTAATTGTGATTCTTATACTGCTCTTTGACTCATCATTCCTTGGAAGGCTGTCTCATAGAATCAAAGAATCATAGAATCAAAGAGTTGGAAGAGACCTCCTGGGCCATCCAGTCCAACCCCATTCTGCCAAGAAGCAGGAATATTGCATTCAAATCACCCCTGACAGATGGCCATCCAGCCTCTGAAAGCTTCCAAAGAAAGAGCCTCTACCTCACTTCGGGGCAGAGAGTTCCACTGCTGAACGGCTCTCACAGTCAGGAAGTTCTTCCTCATGTTCAGATGGAATCTCCTTTCTTTGTAGTTTGAAGCCATTGTTCCGTGTCCTAGTCTCCAGGGAAGCAGAAAACAAGCTTGCTCCCTCCTCCCTGTGACTTCCTCTCACATATTTATACATGGCTATCATATCTCCTCTCAGCCTTCTCTTCTTCAGGCTAAACATGCCCAGCTCTTTAAGCCGCTCTTCCTAGGGCTTGTTCTCCAGACCCTTGATCATTTTAGTCGCCCTCCTCTGGACACATTCCAGCTTGTCAATATCTCTCTTGAATTGTGGTGCCCAGAATTGGACACAATATTCCAGGTGTGGTCTAACCAAGGCGGAATAGAGCATGGGGAGCATGACTTCCCTAGATCTAGACACTAGGCTCCTATTGATGCAGGCCAAAATCCCATTGGCTTTTTTTGCCGCCACATCACATTGTTGACTCATGTTCACCTTCCTCCCCACGAGGACTCCAAAATCTTTTTCACATGTCCTGCTCTCGAGTGAGGCATTGTCCCCCATTATGTATCTTTGCGTTTTGTTTTTCCTGCCTAAGTGGAGTATCTTGCATTTGTCACTGTTGAACTTCATTGTGTTAGTTTTGGCCATTCATCTCTCTAATCTGTCAAGATCATTTTGAATCCTGCTCCTGTCCTCTAGAGTATTGGCTCTCCCTCCCAATTTGGTGTCTCCTCCCTATTCATTCAAAAGACACCCAACATCATTCTATGACCTTTAAAAATGTTTTTGTACTAAAACTGCACAGTGATGTAGCCTCAAAGTCCTGAAGTATTCCTAATTACAGTTCTGTTAAATGCCGTGGATGGAGCATATCTGAATTTCAGTAAGGCCTTCGACAAGGTCCTCCATGATCTTCTGGCAAACAAACTAGTCAAATGTGAGCTAGGTAAAACTACGGATCTGGTGGGATTATCTGCCTTGATCTTCTGGGATATAGGGCTGTGTGGAAGGGCCCGCCGTTGCTATGGAGAGATAATGACTTTGACCCCTTGATAAGCGGGTTACTAATTAATCAGTCTGATCTTAATTTCCCATTATATAAACCATCAAAAGGTCAAAAGAAGTAGTGAATGAGTGCCATAAAGTGGGGGCTTAATGGGGTGGAAAGGGAACTAATGGAGGCTTGGACCTTCTTATATATATGAGACATAATAATATATTACAATATAATATGATAATAATATTTATTTATTTGTTGTGTCAGGGCAACCAGTCAATTATATTACATTTCTAACAGAACAAAGCAAACAAACAGACAAAATACAAAATTTGTGAGTTTGGTAGTTGATTAAAATAATAATAATAATAATAATAATAATAATAATATAATAATAATATAGTACATATATAATAATAATGTGATGTAATGTACTACAACCTAGCAGTAACATAATAATCTAATATATATATATATATAATAATATTGTAAAACAATCTAATTATCTAAATAAAATATATAATATTATAATAATATAATTAAATATATCATAGTAATATTATAACAATATAATATATTATATATCATATAATCTATGATAATGATATAAATAATGATATAAAATATAAATATTATATTATACAATATACAATATACTAATGAACATTATATACATATTATCTTATATATTAATACAATATAGGTACTGTATCATAGAATATTATAATACAATATATCAATGAATAATAATATGTACTATAATATATTTTAGATTATATATATATATATAATATAAAATATATTATTGTATGTTATTATTATTCATTGATATATTGTATTATAATATATATATATAATCTAAAATATATTATAGTACATATTATTATTCATTGATATATTGTATTATAATATTCTATGATACAGTACAAATATTATATTAATATATAAGATAATATGTATATAATGTTCATTACTATATTGTATAATATATATATATATTACAATATATCACTGAAAAATAATATGTATGCTATGATATTTTATATCTATCTATCTATCTATCTATCTATCTATCTATCTATCTATCTATCTATCTATATATATATATATATATATATATGACATATATGTTTGCTCTTTTCTTGCATGGTGGGGGTTAAACCTGATGGCCCATGTGGTTTCTTCCAACTCTATTATTCTATGATTCTATGATTACAATATATTATATATTATGTGAAAATAATATTGTACAAATATATACAATAATAATATGTAATATTATGAAGTTATATTTTAGATTTTTAATATATTATAATACTATATATATATATATATGTATATATGATATAAGACACAATAATACAATGTGATATAGTATAATAAAATATGTAATAATATAACAATATAATAATATATAATATAATCATATGTAAAATAGTAATTATAATTATGTAATATGTATTTTGATATTTTACCGATTGTATGTGTTTTTATGGTTGGAAACCAGGCTGAGTCCCTCTTATGAGGTGAGAAGCTCGGTATATAAAACTTTGAAATAAATAAATAAATAATATTTGTGCTAATATTTCCCCAGTCAGACATCTTTTCGGGGGCCATCTTCATCAAGCTGGCCATGGGGCTGGACATCTATGTGGCCATCATCATGCTGCTGGCCATTACGGCCCTCTACACCATTACGGGTAAGGGGCTCTTTCTTGGAATTCTAGTAGTACATTCCTGCCTAGGAAGGGGGTCAGACTAATTACCCTCTGGGTTTTGGAAACAGATGGAGGGAGGCCTTGTTGGGGAGTCCTTCTGGGAGAGTGCATTCCTTGCTAGGAATGGGGGGGGGGACGGGCGGGCGGGGGGGGGGGGGGGGGGGGGGGGGGGGGGGGTGGGGGGGGGGGGGGGGGGCCGGGGTGGTGTGGGGGGGGGGGGTGGTGGGGCGGGGGGGTGGGGGGGCGTGGGGTTGCGTGTGGGGGGGACGTGTTGTGGGGGGGGGCGGGGGGGGGGGGGTGGGGGGGGGGGGGGGGGGGGGGGGGGAGGAGGGGGGGGTGGTGGGGGAGGAGGGGGAGGAGGAGATGGTGGTGGAGGAGGCGGAGGCGGGGGGGGGGTCGGGGGGGGGGGGGTGGGGGGGGGACGGGGGGGGCGGGGGGGGGGGTGTGGTAGACAGATGGATGGATGGGCCTTGTTGGGAGTCCTTTGGGAGTGCATTCCTGCATAGGAAGGGGTCAGACTAGATGACCCTTTGAGACATCTTTCACACATATTTCTCCCTATTTACATCTGTTATTAGGTGGCTTAGCTGCGGTCATCTATACGGATACCTTGCAGACCATCATCATGTTGGTGGGGTCCGTCATCCTTGCTATATTCGGTAAGACAATAATAATGATAATGATAATGATGTAGAAATATAAAATGCAATAATAGTAATAATAGTAACAGAAATATAAAATGTAATGATATAAAGTATTGTAATAATGTAAAATATAATATAAATTGTAAATAATCTGTGATAGCAATAACAATAATAGATCCGACCACAGAGCCACCGCTGCCCACTTTCTTACTGATTCCTTTCTTTCCTCTCCCTCCATAACCTTTAAATATAACTAATATGAAATATAATAATAATCCATAATAACAGGGATGCCCTCAGGAAAACAACAGCCAGGCTTTGCAGCTGCAAGGCTACTCAATGCTATTCAAGCATGCTAATGGCAACATCCACACTTCCTTCAAAGAGACAAGAATTCTTTTTCCCCCACCCTGGACATTATTCCACAGGTATGTATACACCCCACTGGCCTCATTTCCAACAAACAAGAAGGTGCCATGATCCACTGATGCAGGTGAAACGTCAGGAGAGAATGCTGCTGGAACATGGCCTACAGCCCAAAAAACACATAATAACCCAGTTATTCAGGCCACAAAAGTCTTTGATAACACATCTGTAATAACAATCAATAATAATAATAATAATAATAATAATAATAATAATAATAATTCATCACACAGTCCTAGATGCTTGGGAAGTGTTGGACTTGTGATTTTGTGATACGAAATCCAGCGTATAGATCTCGTTTGCTGTGACATACTGTGTTTTTGTCAGTAAAATAATAATAATAATAATAATAATAATAATAATAATAATAATATGTATACATTGTATGTGAATATATTGAAAATTGAATCCAGACAAGACAGAGGTACTCCTCGTTAGTCGCAAGGCCGAACAGGGCATAGGGTTACAGCCTGTGTTGGATGGGGTCGCACTCCCCCTGAAGACACAGGTTCGCAGCTTGGGTGTGACCCTGGACTCATCACTGAGCCTGGAGCCCCAGGTTTCGGCGGTGACCAGGGGAGCATTTGCACAGTTAAAACTCGTGCGCCAGCTGCGACCGTACCTTGGGAAGTCTGACTTGGCCACGGTAGTCCACGCTCTGGTTACATCCCGCTTAGACTACTGCAACGCTCTCTACGTGGGGTTGCCCTTGAAGACTGCTCGGAAGCTTCAAATGGTCCAACGTTCGGCAGCCAGGTTGCTAACAGGAGCGGCACTCAGGGAGCACACCACTCCTCTGCTGCGCCAGCTCCACTGGCTGCCAATCTGCTACCGGGCACAATTCAAGGTGCTGGCTTTAGCCTATAAAGCCCTAAACGGTTCTGGCCCTACTTACCTCTCCGAACGCATCTCCTCCTATGAACCGACTAGGACATTAAGATCGTCTGGGGAGGCCCTGCTCTCGGTCCCGCCCGCATCGCAGGCGCGGTTGGCGGGGACGAGGGACAGGGCCTTCTCGGTGGTGGCCCCTCGGCTGTGGAACGCCCTACCTGTGGACATCAGACAGGCCCCTTCACTGCTGGCATTCCGGAGGAAGGTCAAGACTTGGCTTTACGAACAAGCGTTTGGCTAAATAGTGCAATGAAATACAGTAAGATGGTACAACTGAACATAGGAGTTGGTATAAAGGATTATGATTACGGATTCTGATTCTGATTTGTTTGCTGAGGCGCACATCTGTTGTTGTGTTAACCTTTACTATGTAAACCGCCTTGAGTCGCCATTTCGGCTGAGAAAGGCGGTATAGAAGTAAAGCAAATAAAATAAATAATAAATTGTGTTTTAGATAATAATAATAATAATAATAATAATAATAATAATAATAATAATAATTAGACCTGACCGTGGAGTCACCACTCCCTAGACACGTATGCCACTTTCTCATTGAGTTTGTTTCATGTACCTCCCAATGCAGCCTTCAACGAAGTGGGGGGCTATGAGCAGTTCAGGGAGAAGTACATGAAGGCTATTCCAAACCTCACTAATGCCACTGCCAACATCTCCGAGAAGTGCTACATGCCTCGTCCGGACGCCTTCAACATCTTCCGGGACCCTATTAATGGAGATCTGCCTTGGCCGGGAATGATCTTTGGCCTCACCATCCTCTCCCTTTGGTACTGGTGCACAGACCAGGTCAGTTAATACGGTTCATCAGGATCGGATGGTGGGAAAGCAAGTGGAGTACATATACAACTGTGGAATAATGTCCAGAGTGGGAGGAAAGAACCCTTGTTAAACTAATAATAAATAATAATAAACTTTATTTATACCCCGCCACCATCTCCCCCAACGGGGACTCGGAGCGGCTTGCATGGGGCCGAGCCCGAACAACAAATTGCAATACAAAGAAAAAATACAAAACTAGTGTGAAAGGTGCTATTAGCAAGCTTGAAAATAGCCTAGCCTATGTTCCCTGATGCTAGAACACATTGGCCATACAGCCCGGAAACCATGCAACACTCAATTGTTGTTGTTATATTACTTTAATTTTAATATAATAAGAATACTAAAGTATAGTATACATATAATATTTCTTTTAATCGTGTCAGGAGCAACTTGAGAAACTGCAAGTCGCTTCTGGTGTGGGAGAATTGGCAGTCTGCAAGGACGTTGCCCAGGGGACACCTGGATGTTTCGATGTTTCACCATCCTTGAGGGAGGCTTCTCTCATGCCCTGCATGGGGAGCTGGAGCTGACAGAGGGAGCTCATCCACGCTCTCCCTGGATTCGAACCTGCAATCTGTCGGTCTTCAGTCCTGCCGGCACAAGGGTTTAACCCACTGCACTACCGGGGGCTCCACATATAACAATATAGTATTAGAATTGGGTTGTTGTGTGTTTTCTGGGCTGTATGGCTATGTTCCAGAAACATTCTCTCCTGACATTTCACCTGCATCTATGGCAGACATCTTCAGAGGTTGTGAGGTCTATTGGGACACTAGGAAAATGGGATGGGAATGTCCAGGTGGGAGAAAGAACTCTTGTTTATTGGAAGTAGGTGTGAATGTTTCACTTGGGCACCATTTAATGGCCTAGCAGTGTCAAGGTCTGGCTTCTCACTGCCTGGCGAATCCTTTGTTGAGAGGTGATTAGCTGGCCCTGATGGTTTCTTGTCTGGAATTCTCTTGTTATTTATTTACTGCAATGTTTTTAGAATTTTTAAAATTATGGTAGCCAGATTTTGTTCATTTTCATGGTTTCCTCCTTTTTGTTGAAATTGTTCACATGCTTGTGGATTTGACACGGTGGTTGTTAGAAAGGTCCAGCATATCTGTGTTCTCAAATAATAATCCCCCAGGCAGTAAGAAGCCAGACCTTGAAAACTACTAGGCCATAAAATGCTAATCAAGGTGGCCAATTGCAACATTAACACCTACCTCAAACAGACAAGAATTGTTTCTCCCATCCTGGACATTATTCCACAGATATATAAACCCCACTTGCCTAGTTTCCAACTGACCACACAACCTCTGAGGATGTCTGTCATAGATGTGGACGAAATGTCAGGAGAGAATGCTTCCGGGCTATACAGCCCGGAAAAACTCACAACAACCCATTGATTCTGGCCATGAAAGCCTTCAACAATACAGTATTCGAATTATATATTATACTAGCTGTCCCCTGCCACGCATTGCTGTGGCCCAGTCTGTTGATCTGGAAAATAAAGTAATGAGAAAGTGTTGGTTTCTAATATATATAATTATGCTTGTGAGTAAACCGTATTTCTTGCTGTGTCTTTGTCAGTGTTGATGTGGAGAGTGTCTGGTTTGCCCACTCTGGAACATGCAACATATCATTGTTCTTCTTTAAGGGTCCCTTTCAAATCTATGATACTATATGTCTCTGTTTGTGAATCATATCTATCTATCTATCTATCTATCTATCTATCTATCTATCTATCTATCTATCTATCTATCTAGATATCTATCTATCTATCTATCTATCTATCTATCTATCTATCTATCTATCTAGGGAGGGTTTTTGCACAATTGAGACTCGTGCGCCAACTGCAACCGTACCTCGCGAAGGCTGATCTGGCCGGGGTGGTCCATGCCTTGGTCACCTCTAGGTTGGATTACTGCAATGCGCTCTACGTAGGGCTGCCCTTGAAAATGGCTCGGAAATTCCAACTGGTCCATCGGGCAGCAGCCAGGATGTTAACTGGGCTCCTTACAGAGAGAGGTCAACCCTCCTGTTCAAGGAGCTCCACTGGCTGCCGTTTATTTTCTGAGCCCAATTTAAGGTGCAGGTGCTTACCTACAAAGCCCTGAACGATTTGGGACCACCCTACCTGCGTGACCGCATCTCCGTCTACGAACCCACGCGATCGCTTTGGTCATCTGGGGAGGCCCTGCTCGTGATCCCGCCTGCGTCGCAAGCACGTTTGGTGGGGACTCGAGACAGGGCCTTCTCTGTGGCGGCTCCCCGACTCTGGAACGCCCTCCCAAAAGATCTCAGACAGGCCCCTACAATGGCAGTCTTCAGAAAGAATTTGAAGACCTGGCTATTCCGATGTGCCTTCTCAGATTAGGAATCTCCAATACCAAGTCCTAGAAGCACTTTAGTAGAATTAAGATTGCTGCACTCTGCACACTGCACTTACTTATAATCCTGCATACCTCCTGCCACATCAGCACTTTTAATCTTGTACCCATTACTCTGGCCGGCCCAGTTTTATAGTGTCTTGATGTATTGTTTATTGTTGTTGTTTATTCTGCTTAACTGTTTTTAATTTGCTTTAGGTATTGTATTGTTGTATTGTGTTTTGAGGCCTTGGCCTATGTAAGCCACATCGAGTCCTTCGGGAGATGCTAGCGGGGTACAAATAAAGTAAATAATAATAATAATAATAATAATAATAATAATAATAATAATAATAATAACCTAATCTAGGATCTACAGTCAGGAGGGGTTTTGTTATGTTTTCTTGCCCTGATGAAGTTGGACTGGATGGTCTTAAGTATTTTCTGTTGCTCATGGGGGTTCTGTGTGGGAAGTTTGCCCCAATTCTGTCGTTCGTGGGGTTCAGAATGCTTTTTGATTGTAGGTGAACTGTGAATCCCAGTGAGTACAACTCCCAAATGTCAAGGTCTATTTCCCCCAAACTCCGTGTTCATATTTGGGCATATTGAGTATTTGTGCCAAGTTTGGTCCAGATCCATCATAGTTTGAGTTCACAGTGCTCTCTAGATATAGGTGAACGACAACCCCTGCCTGGTTTTGAGACCGGCGAAGGCAAGAGGGAACCCGGGCCGCGCCACAAATCAAGCCCCCGGCTTCGCTGAAGACAGAGGGTCTCCCTTCTCTCTCTCTCTCTCTCTCTTTTTTTTGGTGAGATTTGGTCCAGTAGTTTTTCTGTTTTTGAACCACTAAGGACGACGTTAACCTTTATATATATATATATATATATATATATATATATATATATATAATTGTATTATTGTACTGAGGATGATGTCCCTGATGATGTCTCTCTCCTCCTGCATGTTGCAGGTGATTGTGCAGCGGTGCCTGTCTGCCAAAAACATGTCTCACGTCAAAGGGGGCTGCATCCTGTGTGGATACCTGAAGCTGCTGCCCATGTTCCTGATGGTGATGCCGGGGATGATCAGCCGCATCCTCTACACAGGTAACTCCGGAAGCAAGAAGTGAATAGAGGGTACCTTATGAATGGAGGGATTTTTATGAATGGAGAAACTCTTAAAGGGGAAGAGGGATCATTGAGGGAAAAATTCACATGCAGGACTCCTGTGTGTATATATATAGAGAATCATAGAATTCGAATAAACCTGGTGGGCCATCCAGTCCAACCCCATTTTGCTAAGAAGCAGGAAAATCACATTCAAAGCACCCCCGACAGATGGCCATCCAGCCTCTGTTTAAAAGCCTCCAAAGAAGGAGCTGCCACCACACGCACACATACATATATATGGAATTCAATGGCTTCTCTTTAAAAAATTCCCTAAAATCAATAGATATATGGATATTTCTGAAAGTTGGGGGGAATGATCCCCTGTTATCTTGTATCATTGTATAGAAAATTCAAGGAGATATAGAGCTCTTGCAGTTTTTTTCAAAAAGAAAATGTTTATAAAAACTTTGAAAATTCCCCAAAAAGCTGTGGATAAATGGAACATTCTGAAACTGGATGGACTAAGAGTGGTAAATGCGCTCTACCATTTTAGCAAGTTTCACCCCAATAGCTGTGCAAATGAGGGAGAAATGAGCCCCAAAGTCTACCCACTTGCGCAATTACCATAACCAAAAAGTAATGCGATTTCATTATTCTGGCTATAGTAACAAAATGTTTGATAACAATACTATAGAAACACTTTGGAAACAAAACACCAGCGCCTCCCAGTTTTGTAATGACGTTTGAAATATTTTTTCAATTGATCGCACATGCCTAATAAACACTGGATAGTTTCTTAAAGGGGGGGGGGGATCACAAACTGATGGCTCTTACAAATGGGTGAATGAATAGGTTCTTGTGAATGAATGGGTCCTTACAGGGAAAGGAGAATGGACAGATTTTATGAATGAATGGGCTCTTAACGGGGAAGGACAATGAATGGAAGGATCCTATGAACTGATGGGTTCTTGTGAATGAATGGGTTCTTATAAATGGCTCTGAAGGGGGAAGGATGGTAATAATGATAATGATAGAGATTCGGACTCGGGACTACCTGTGCTGTCACGCGCTGGGCCTGTAATAATTGATTTTTTAAACAGGACGTGCTCTTTGTGCCCAGTGGGGAGCCAGGATGCCACGGGTGAGAGGCCTTCAAGGATTTTCCCATACACAGTCTTTAAAAGGCTTGAAATGTTTAACAAAGTTCTTTATTATTGCTTAGGTCTTCAATAAAACTGTGGGGAAAATATGCACACTTAAAAGAGCACAGTCCTGAAAAATGCATGAAAGAAACTTTAGTCAATGGGAACAATGTGTAATTATGCACGCATTAAAGAAAGCATATGTTTTAAAGAAAGTGCACCAAAATACATACAAGTTGAGAAAAAATGAAAGGGTGTTGGAGTCAGAGCCCTAGGTTCCACTTCACATGTTACTTCTATTGTCTGTTATGATATCATAGATCAGGGATTTAAAGCTCATTAAGGGCCACTTCACCCTCATGGGCACCTTCAAAGGTCCATTGAAACCATGGGTGGAGAATCCATGGAGACAGAGAAAGGGCCAACTATCTTTCTTCTACATAGTGCTGAGTGCTTTTTCGTTTTTACCCAAATGTTATTGAACAACAATTCCCAAGATCTTAGAAGATCTGTTGAAGATCAATTCCCAAGAAGATCTGTTGAAGATCTTCTTGGATCTTCAACAGATTAAACAAATGCTTCTTAACTTGCCCCAAAATGGACAGGCACCTTGCTTGGAGAACTATTTCTTTCTTTAACAAGGAAAACCCTTTTTTAACCACTCCCAGGCAATCTACTGTCTAAGCTTTGCTGATGTGGGTTCCACTACCGGTTCCAATCTGCGTCTTGGGTCCCGAGTAGACCTACCAGTCAAGGCTATGTAGACTCTCCAGCTGGAGTTTTTTGGGTCTGCAAAACTGTTTTCTTCCGAAACTTTAGGACTGTTTCCCTCAGATGCTGTAAAGCTGAGAGGCTGTAAGCTCCCAGCCAGACCTTTGGGAATGTTTCCCCCCCAAATTTCTGCCCCGGATGCTGTAGGAAATGAAGCTTTTCTATGGATGGAGCTAATCCATGTCCTGTAGCTTAGCTTTCCACTATAAGACTGAACTAAAATGGCTCCCTCTCTTCCCATGGCCCTGGGGAAAGGGGCGGAACCAAAACTTAACAATGATAGACAGGTGGCTAGCCCTATGATTGCAAACTAAGGGAAGCCACCTTATTGCGAATGCATGGAACCTTGGAATATATGCAAACACTCAATAGAAAGAAAATGAAGCTGAAGCACCTGGTTCAGCCGTACCAGCACACTACCTATATCTATCTCCCACAGATGAAGTGGCCTGCATCGACCCCAAGAAGTGCTGGGAAGTCTGTGAGGCAGAGGTGGGCTGCTCCAACGTCGCTTACCCCTTGATGGTGGTCAGGCTCATGCCCAATGGTGAGGAGGAGGAGGAAGAGGCCATCGTGGCAAGGAGGGGAAAACATGGTGGCTTTGAGGTCAGGGAGCCAGGGAGGGGAGGAAGGAAGAAGCCAAAGTGGGAAAGTGGGTTTGGGGTGTGTGTGTGTGAATCTATGTATTTTTATAATTCATTTTATTATAATATTATTACACTTTACAATCTTATTGAAAATTATTTTATTTATTTATTTGTTACTCTCATTGTATTTTATAATTGTCTAATTCAAATTATTCATATTATTATAATATTTTATAATGTATTTTATTACTCTTTATATTACCGTATATTCTCGAGTATAAGCTGACCCGAATATAAACCGAGGCACCTAATTTTACCACCAAAAAATAGGAAAACTTATTGATTCGAATATAAGTCAAGGGTGGAAAATGCAGCAGCTACTGGTAATACAAAATAAATATAGATACCAATAAAATTACATTAATTGAAGAAACAGTAGGTTAAATGTTTTTCAATGTTTACATAAAACTGTAATTTAAAATAAGACTGCCCAACTTAGATTAAACCATTATTATAACCTTTTTCAGTGTCAATGTACTTACATATCCTTTCAATAATAATAAAGAAAGTAAAATAAAAAATGTAATAACAACAATAATGAAGTAAATAAATGTAATAATAATAATAATAACAGAGTAAAATAAATGTAATAAAATAATAATAGAATAAAATAATGCAAATGTAATAATGCCAATAATAGAGTAAAATAATACATGTAATAATGATAATAATAAATAGAGTAAAATAAATGAAATAAAATAATAATAGAGTAAAATAATGCAAATATAATAATACTAATATAGAGGAAAATAATAAATATAATAAAAATAATAGTAATAGCAGAGTAAAATAATACATAACTTTGACTCAAGTATAAGCCGAGGGCAGCTTTTTCAGCCTAAAAAAGGGGCTGAAAAACTAGGCTTATACTCGAGTATATTGTATTTTTATAATTCATTTTATTTATGTCATTATTTTATTTTACAATACTTCCATTATTTTTATTGTTATATTTTTATCATTTATTTTATTATTTATATCATGATTATCATATTCTTATAATTATTTTATTAATAATATTACTATTACTTCTCTTAAATTATTTTAATATTTATTTTATTTATATTATTATTCCTTCTTCCTCCTCCATATTATTATTAGTTATAATATTTATTAATACATTATAACATTTTATTATTAATTAGTATCATGTTAATTATTGTTATTATTATTTAAATTTAAAATTATTATTTTAATTATTTGATATAATTTAATCCTTGAATGACAGGTTTGCGAGGTCTGATGCTGTCGGTGATGCTGGCCTCCCTGATGTCCTCCTTGACCTCCATCTTCAACAGTGCCAGCACTCTCTTCACGATGGACATCTATACCAAGATTCGGACCAAGGCCAAAGAGAAGGAGCTCATGATTGTTGGAAGGTGTAACAAGAGGGGCATCCCGTCACCTTCACCATCACGTTGCCTTGCTACAAATCTCATAAACCTATTCCCCATTTCTTCTATTTTTAGGGTCTTCATCGTGTTCCTTATCATCCTGAGCATCCTCTGGGTCCCAGTCATCCAGAAGGCCCAAAATGGGCAGCTCCTCGATTACATCCAATCCATCACCAGCTACTTGGGGCCTCCGATCACAGCTGTCTTCTTACTGGCCATCTTGTGCAAGAGAGTCAATGAGATGGTGAGGGGCAGACCCGAATCGATAAGGAGTTGATCGATCAGAAGGAGAGACCAATACGAAAGGAGTTGATTAGAAGGAGAGATTAATAGGAAAAAGGTATAGAATAGAAGGAAAGATATATAGGAAAGAAAGAGTCAATCGGAGGATTAGATCAATAAGAAGGGAGTCAATCAGAGAACAATAGCAAAGAAAAAATAGATCAGAAGAGACTGATAGGAAGAAAATAATAGAGTGGAGTGAGAGATCAATAGAAAAGAAGGAGTCAGTTGGAAGGAGAGATCAATAGGAAAGAAGGAGTCTATTGGGGGAGAGATTGATAGAAAAGGAGTTGATTGAAAGGAGGAGTAGATTGGAGGGAGAGAGAGCTAGGAAAAAAGGAGTCAATCAAATGGGAGATAGGAAAGGAGTCAATCATAGGGAGAGATCAATAGGAAAGAAGGAGTCAATTGGAAGACGATATGGATAAGAAATCTCGCCTTCCAATTGACTCCTTCTTTCCCATCAAGCAGAGGAAGGAAATATCAATAGAAACCAATCTGGGAGCATTAGAATTGACTCTTAATTGAAAGGAGAGATGGATAGGAAAGGAGGAGTTGATTGGAAGGAGAGATCGATTGGAAAGGAGTCAATCAGAAGAAGAGATCAATAGGAAAGGAGTTGGTCGGAGGAAGGAATCGATGGGAAAGGACGACAAGATCAATGGAAAGCAATAATATTCAAGGAGTCGATTGGAGAACGAGATCAATAGAAATCGATAGGAGGAAAAATTAATAGAAATCAAGATCGATCGGAGAATACAATAGAGGGAGGGATCAATAGAAATCATTCGAATAATAGATCGGAGGGAGGAATTATTGGTTTCTAATGCTCTCAGATTGGTTTCTATTTATCTTTCCTTCCTCTGACCGACTTCTCAAACATTATTGGTTTTTAGTGATCACATTAGTTTTCATTGATATTCTCTGACCTATTGGTATCCATTGATCAACTCCTTCCCAAATGCTATCGGTTTTCACTGATCTCGTCTTCCTCCAATCAACTCCTCAAACATTATTCGTTTCTTTTCCTCTAAACTATTGATTCCTATTGATCCTGTCTTCCCATGGACTCCTTCTTGAACATTATTATTATTGATCTCTCCAATTGACTTCTTCCCAGACATTATTGGGTTCTATTGATCTTCTCCTCCAATCTATTGGTTCCTATTGATTTAATTATTTTATCGACTCCTTCTCGAGCTTTATTGGTTTTTATTGCTCTTGTCCTCCAATCTATCAGTTCCTACTGATCTTGTCTTCTGGTTGACTACTTCTAGAACATTATTCGTTTCTATTGATCTTGTCCTCTAATCTATTGGTTCCTATTGATCTCATTCTCCAATCGACTCCTTCTTGAACATGACTGCGTTTTATTGTTCTTGTCCTCCCATTGACTCCTTTTTGAACACCATTACTATTGATCTCTATGAACATTGTTTCTATTGAGCTCCCCTTCTCTGATGGATTCCTTTTCAACTGTTATTGACCAGTTCCCTGCTGACCTTTCAACTTCATCCGCAGGGGGCCTTTTGCGGTCTGATACTGGGCCTCCTGATAGGTCTTTCCCGGATGATCACGGAGTTCATCTATGGGACAGGGAGCTGTGCCCATCCCAGCCACTGTCCGGACATCATCTGCAAGGTCCACTACCACTATTTTGCCATTATTCTCTTCACCATCTCCATTGCCACCATTCTGACCGCCTCCTTCCTCACTAAGCCCATCGACGACATCCATGTGAGTTCTCTCCTGGCGCTGATCCAAACTTTGGGGGGGGGGGGGGGGTGTCTCTCTAACCCTATTGCGCTAACCCTACAACTTGAATACTAACTCTTACCCTGACTCTAGCTCTAACCCTAAATGTAATTCTAACTGTAACCCAAAGTGTTTCACTCTAATCCTATCTAACCCTAACCCTAAGGCTCTCTAACCATAACTCTAGCTCTAACCCTATCCTTAACTCTAATGGTCTAATTCTAACCCAACTCTATCAGTAACTCTAAGACAGTAGTTCTCAACCTGTGGGTCCCCAGATGTTTTGGCCTAACAGTTGGTAAACTGGCTGGGATTTCTGGGAGTTGTAGGTCAAAACACGTGGGGACCTACAGGTTGAGAATCATTGCTCTAAGGCTAATCCTCTATCTCTAACCTTAATTCTGAGACTACTCCTAATGCTCTCTACCTTTAAGTCTAGCTCAAACTCTATCTGTAACCCTAATTCAAACTCTCTAACTCTAAGACTAACCCTATTGCTAACTCTAACGCTCTCTAAGTAACTCTATTTCTTAGTCTAAGACTAATCTTTGGCTGATATGCCAGCTGTGCCCTTTCCTAGATTTGGAGGACCCAAAGATGGCAGTGCCTGCATTGGTAATCTCAAGGTTGGACTTCTAGAATGCAATTTACATTGTCTTATCTTTGTATCAAGTTCGGAAACTCTAGCTGGTTCTAAATACAGCAACCAGATAGATTATGGGAACATCCAGGAGTGAGCGTATTACACCTATCCTAAAATCACTCCACTAGCTGCCAATTAGTTTCCAGGCAAAGTATAAGATCCTGGTTTTGACCTTTAAAACCCTACATGTTTGGGTCCAGGTTACCTATAAGATCACCTTACTCTGTATAATCTGCCCTGAACACTGAGGTCCTCTGTGAGGCATCTGCTTCAACTAGCCAAAACCGGACTGGCAACCACCACCCAGAGGACCTTTTCACCAGCCACCTCTAGACTGTGGAACAACCTCCCGTTAGAGCTCCCACAGCTAAATCAGCAAATTAAGACACAACTGAAGACTTGTCTCTTCCAGCAGGCCTACCCGGACAGTTTTCATGACAAATTTTAAACTTGAATCTTATGTATAATCTCTGTTTTGTATATTTTAATATGTATTTTGTGGAAATTTTAATATGTGTATTTTAAAGAATATTTTTAGGTGAGTGTGTGTTTTAGCAATGTTGTGACCTGCCTTGAGCTGTGAAGAGAGGCAAGCAAGAAATAAAAAAAATATTATTATTATTATTAACTCCAATGTTTTCTAACTTGAAATAGGGTTAAAGTTAGACTTAGAGAGCATCAGTTAGTAACCGGTCTAATCTTAGAGTTAGAATTAGAGATGGAGTTGTTGTTGTTGTTCATTCGTTCAGTCGTCTCCGACTCTTCGTGACCTCATGGACCAGCCCACGCCAGAGCTCCCTGTCGGCCGTTACCACCCCCAGCTCCCTCAAGGTCAGTCCAGTCACTTCAAGGATGCCATCCATCCATCTTGCCCTTGGTCGGCCCCTCTTCCTTTTGCCTTCCACTTTCCCCAGCATAATTGTCTTCTCTAGGCTTTCCTGTCTCCTCATGATGTGGCCAGAGATGGAGTTAGACAAACCTTATTGCTTACTCCATTGCTCTCTCAGTCTACTCCTATCACTAACCCTAACCCTAATTTGAACTCACTAACCTTGTCTCTAACTCTAAGGCTAACCCTAATTCTTATCCTCCATCTCTAACCCTAACTCTAATTCAAACTCTCTAAGTCCATCCCTAACTCTACAACTAATCTTACTACGAATTCCAAGGCTCTCTAACTCTAACCCTAAGGCCAACCATAATACTTATCCTCTAACCCTAATCCGAACTCTAACCCTAAGAGGAATCCTATTACTAACTCCAAGGCTATCTAAGTCTACCTCTAACTCTACCTCTACCTCTAATCCTGGTTTGAACTCTCCAACTTTGTCTCTATCTTTAACTTTAACCATAACTCTAAGGCTAACCTTAATTCTTATTCTCTCCCTCTATCTAACTCAAGCTCAAATCTTAAATCGAACTCTAACCTTACCACTAACTCCCTAACCTTAATTCTAACCCATACTTCATAACCCTAAATCCCCATTTCCAGCTGTATCGCCTCTGCTGGTCCCTCCGCAACCGGACAGAAGAACGGATCGATCTGGACGCCGAGGAGGAAGAGGCCAAGAAGGAGGAGACTGTCTACCAGGACCAAACCCGTAAACTGACCACTCATACTTATTCATACTTATGCAAATCAGAAAGGAGGGGAAATCGTTCGGTGGTGATGAGTGGACAATGGGAGTCACAATACAACCAATGGAATAACAATAACAATAACAAAATATTAAATTTAAAAGTCTTCAAGGATGGATAGGTGATGGGAGGTGCAGTCCAACCAATAGATATATTACATTAAAAGAGCTTCTGGGTGTGTGGATAATGACAGTCATAGTCTGTCTAACAAAGGCATTATTATTATTATTATTATTATTATTATTATTATTATTATTATTGAGGCAGATATTTAGAGGCATTATTATTATTATTATTATTATTATTATTATTATTATTATTATCATTACATGTGGCTACTCCAAAACAGCACAATACAGACATAAAGGCAGAAGAAGAGGAATACCTGGCTAATCCACATGGATTTGAGTTTTTAAAGGCTAGGTAATGGAGTAACGGCGCTCCATGCAGTCATGCTGGCCACATGACCTTGGAAGTGTCTACGGACAACGCTGGCTCTTCGGCTTAGAAATGGAGATGAGCACCACACCCCAGAGTCAGACATGACTGGACTTGATGTCAGGGGACTACCTTTTACCTAATGGAGTAAAGGCTAGGTAGCACAGTACTGGAATAATGATGATGATGAAGATAATAATAAATTTAAAGGTCTTCTGGACAGACGGATTATAAGATTTGCAATCCAATCCATGCTTAATTGATTTTTTTTTTGGGGGGGGGGGGTCTGTCTTTCTTGGCAGTGACCGAGGTGGAGACTTCCTGTGGCCGGAAAGCACTGAACTGGTTCTGTGGCCTGGAGGACCAAAGTGGCCCCAAACTGAGCCAACTGGAGGAGGAGGCCCTGAGGCAGAAGCTGACTGACACAAGCGAGGATCTGTTCTGGAAGCGAGTGGTCAACATCAATGGCATTCTGCTCCTGACAGTGGCCGTCTTTTGCTACGGCTTCTTTGCCTAGAAGAGTGGGACAATCCGCATATATTGGCAAAAATTGCAAAAAATCTGCATAAAAATTACATATATTGGCATAATTTGCATAAACTGCATACATTACGAGAAACTGCATAAAATTTGCAATGCGGGTGCCAGCAAGTGCTAATCGGAAGCTCAGAATTGACTTTCCCCCAAAAAAACTCTCTCAAAAAATTGCATAATTACCTCACATTATTGATACACAGAAAGTGCCGAACAAGGTGTGACGAGGCAAAGAAAACAACAACAACAACAACAACAACAACAACAACAACAACAACAACAACAACAACAAAGAACTGGTGGGATCACAAGCCGGAAAAAGTTACAGAAAATGAGCACGTCAAGCTACTCTGGGACTTCCGGATTCAGACAGACAGAGTTTTGGAGCACAAGACTCCTGACCTCACAATTGTGCTAAAAAACAAAGCATGCATTGTTGATGTTGCAATCCCAGGCAACAACAGGATTTATGAGAAACAACTGGAAAAGCTGACATGGTACGAGGATTTAAAGATCGAACTGCAAAGACTCTGGCACAAACCAGTAAAGGTGGTCCCAGTGGTGATTGGCACCCTGGATGCAGTGCCTAAAGACCTTGGCCTGTACTTAAACACAATCGGTGCTGACAAGATTACCATCTGCCACCTTACTGGGATCTGCACGCATTATTCGCCGATACATGACACAGTCCTAGACACTTGGGAAGTGTCCGACGTGTGATCCAATACAAAAGCCAGCAGAGTGTCTGCTGTGGACACATCTTGTGGTGTTTCAAATAATAATAATAATAATAATAATAATAATAATAATAATAATAATAAATAAGGCAATCATTTTTCCTACTTGATTTTAAATCTCTTTCCCCTAATTATTTCTCCTTTTTCCATTCCTTTCATCTTCTTTCCATTTTGCTTTTTTAAAAAATGTGCAATTTGAAGCAAAATGGGATCCTTAATAATAATAATAATAATAATAATAATAATAATAATATTTTGTCGTGTTAGGAGTGACTTGAGAAACTGCAAGTCGCTTCTGGTGTGAGGGAATTGGCCGTGTGCAAGGACATTGCCCAGGGGACGCCCAGATGATTTGATGTTGTTATCCTTGTGGAAGGCTTCTCTCATGTCCCCGCATGAGGAGCTGGAGCTGATAGAGGGAGCTCATCTGCCTCTCCCCGGATTCGAACCTGTGACCTTCAGTCCTGCCGGCACAGGGGTTTAACCCACTCTGCCACCAGGGGCTCAATAATAATAATAATAATAATAATAATAATAATAATAATAATAATAATTTAATTAATTTTATTTCTTACCTGCCTCTTCCCACAGCTCAGTTAAAAACACACAAATAAATATTCTGCAAACACATGTTTAAAAGCCCTATAAAGCCCTAAACGACTCCGGCCCTGTTTACCTCTCCGAACGTATTCTCCCCTATGAACCATCAAGATTATTAAGATCATCTGGAGAGTCCCTGCTCTCGGTCCCACCGGCCTCGCAAGCGCGTCTGGTGGGGACGAGGGACAGGGCCTTCTCGGTGGTGGCCCCTCGACTCTGGAACTCTCTCCTACTGGAGATCAGAACCGCCCCGTCTATCCTGACATTTAGGAAACAGGTGAAGACTTGCTTATGGAGACAGGCATTCGACGAGTGAGCCAATACCCTGAGATATGGATGGAGGATGAGGAGCAACGATTTTAGTGTGACGATTGTATTTATTGATTGTAATTGCTGTTTTAATGTTTTACTGTAATATGTATTATGATGTTTTATTGATTGTATGTGATATTATGGTTGGAAACCGGTCTGAGTCCCTCAAGAGAGGTGAGAAGGCCGGGATACAAAACTTTTAAATAAATAAATAAATAAAATTCAGTTCCATAAAAGATACAGAACAAAGCAGTTCTGTAAAATATACATTAATCATGCAACACAGAGACACATGGCATGAGTTTAAAATTCATGCTTTCAGCTGGCTGGGAAGGCCAGTAATAATATAATTTATAATAATAGCAATAATAATAATAATACCTTCCTTCATTAAAGGCTGGCTGGCGAACACTCTTTGTACTGTCTAACTGAGAAGGAGAAAAAATAGAAATAAATATGTTTTTTCTGGTTATTTAATATTTAATGTTATTTTACTTAAGTGATATTTGTCTTTACTGTTCTAATGTAGCACAAATCCTATGTAAAATCATACTACGTATTTTTGACATTAATATTGAAATCTGAAATACATACAGAAAGTGTATATATGTGTATAAAGTGTATGTTGTTAATTTTTGGTTTTGGGGGAAAAATTCTCTATCGGAAGCTTTTCTAGCAGCATCTGCATTGAAAAGAGATTATTACAGGGAGGCAATGTAATACCAGAGTAATGTCTCCAAAGAATGAAAGACCACAAAAGGGGTAATCAGAAGGTCATCTAGTCTGACCTCAGGTATCTCCCCCCCCCCATAGCCCATAGAGGGCTCCCAAAGGTCATCCATGCCATGAATACATTTAAACATTAAAAGGTTCTTTTATTTCAATCACAATGAGACAAATGAAGTCAATACAGAGGAAAAAAGTAGACAAACTTTATAGCTACATTGGTTACACAAACAAAAGGGAATTTACATTTGACTTCAGCATTCACATATATATACACATTCACTCCTTATCATGCATATATTACCATCTCTACTTCCTTCTCCTGGAAAAGAAATCCTGAAGTAGGCCAGACTGCATTCCCAGCAAATCTACCATTCTGCAAGTATACCATCTTCCTCTGTCCCTTGGAAAATATGGTGGGTGGACCAGGTTCCTCCAAGAGTTAATCATTTGTTTCTGGTCATCAACAGTTCAGCAACTTTTGATTACAGTTCATGAATTCTTTACCACCTTCTTGTAGTTTTGCAGGTTTCAGTCTTAGGATGGCATCTCCAGTCCAGACTGTATCAACCCCAACCACACACCTCTCATACAATTTCATTCAAATCATACATTATATTTATCCATGACAGAGGCGCCCCTTGGTAGGGGTTTGGGCAGGATAGGCTACGGGGTCTCTTCCAACTCTATAATTCTATGAGATTGTGCTAAAATGGTGCCCCAGGAAGCATAGTATTGGAGCCTGGGATCCATAGCTTGACAAAGATTGGGTTCATAAACATTTTATCAGCTTTCTCGGTCCTTTTCCATTTTAGCAACATAAAGTAAGCTTGTGTCTCCTTTCTGCTATTATATTCCCCCTCTTCTATTCTTTTCTCTCACGCAACTTCTCTTTCTCTTCTCCTTGATGCTTTGTTTCTCCTCGTTTCCCTTCTGCTTTCTTTTCTTCCTTGCCTCACATCCATTCTTTGCTGGATGGTGTAGATCCGTCTTGGTGGAGGAGAGACAAGCAGGGCAGAGATGGCTCAAAAGGGCTCGGAAAAGAATTGGAGATGGTAGATCTCCAAGATCGATGAATTCTCCACTGGGAAGGAGGAATCATCTCTTGGGCCCCTTCCATGGCCAGGCTCCCTTTCTCTGATGTCTGTGGCCTTCTTTCTCCACTGATGGCTGGCCCTTCTTCTGAGGCCTTTGTGAGACCCGCACTGATCATTCAACATCTCCATAACTGTACAGAGCTCCAGAAGCCCCTTTGCTGCGATATCAGCTTCAGTGGGGTCCACCATTACTTTCTGGAAAGCTGTCAATAAGGAAATGAATAAAGAATAGAAAGGTTAGAAAGGTGGAAAGTGCCCAGGAAGTCAGAAAACCTTGCAGGCCTTCCTCCAAATCCACCAAAGCTAAGCCCACCCTTCTCTCTGGGTTTGAGTTAGGGTCTCATCTTTGCCCCCAAGTACCAGCCCCAGGGGAACACAAAGGCAATGAAGTCACCCCCTTTGGCTGTGAAGAACCCAACCCCTCCCAAGAGAGGCCCTTCCAGCCAGTGTAAGCTTGGGAGCAGAACACGGCCAGTGCTGTTGAGGGCCAGGGAATCCCAGTTCTTCAGGCTAGACCTTGCAGAACATGGGAAAAGGGACCCCTTTGGGCTGCCACTTCTCCTTCAGTTCTTCTTCCTCCATGACCACGAAGTCATCCCCTTTGGCTGTGAAGAACCCAACCCCTCCCAAGAGAGGCCCTTCCAGCCAGTGTAAGCTTGGGAGCGGAACACGGCCAGTGCTGTTGAGGGCCAGGGAATCCCAGTTCTTCAGGCTAGACCTTGCAGAACATGGGGAAAGGGACCTCTTTGGGCTGCTACTTCTCCTTCAGTTCTCCTTCCTCCATGACCACGAAGTCATCCCCTTTGGCTGTGAAGAACCCAACCCCTCCCAAGAGAGGCCCTTCCAGCCAGTGTAAGCTTGGGAGCGGAACACGGCCAGTGCTGTTGAGGGCCAGGGAATCCCAGTTCTTCAGGCTAGACCTTGCAGAACATGGAGAAAGGGACTACTTTGGGCTGCCACTTCTCCTTCAGTTCTTCTTCCTCCATGACCATGAAGTCATCTCCTTTGGCTGTGAAGAACCCAACCCCTCCCAAGAGAGGCCCTTCCAGCCAGTGTAAGCTTGGGAGCGGAGCATGGCCAGTGCTGTTGAGGGCCAGGTAATCCCAGGTGCCTGGAGTTCTTCAGGCAAAACCTTACAGAACATGGAGAAAGGGACCACTTTGGGCTGCCACTTCTCCTTCCTCTGTCAGTTATTCCTCTTCCTTTGAGTGCTGGCATCTCCTGCAGTCTCTCTCAGCTGGTGTTATTGAACCTGTCAGGAAGGAGGCAATAAAAGAGAAATCCCTGGTTATACTGTGAATCACCGAATCACCAAATCACCACCCAGAGCCCTTTCCAGGGGACAGTTGTCCAGCAGCGAAGGAGTAAGGACCAATAGATTTCCCAGTCAATCCCAGTCAGTTGGTTTTGGGGGACAAGGATTGCCAGCATGCCCCTGTATTTATTGGGTCCAGTTCTAATTGGCATGGGACAGGGACTAGCCTTCCCTCCTTTATCACTGTGGTTAATGC